CATCTTGTAAATATCCGGAAATTATATCATATCAGTTTTTGAAGATCATCAACTCAACAGTTTTGCATCAGCATCCCCGGCATTCGGAGCAACTTAAGCGAGAATAATATGGTGTAGAAGTCACTAGGATACAGCTGTTGTGTCCCAATACATTTAACTAGTATCCAAAATGCTTTGCTGCTCAACTTTTTGTGCTAAAACCCAAGGCTTTCTAGGTTTGCAGCCAAGAAACGGTGATAAAGATGAATTAAATTAAATCTTTGAGCTTTAGTTCCTTACAGATGTTGAAAATCAAACCCAATAAGATTTTGATAAGAACCCAGATTTGATTAAATGCAATTCCATCTCTATCATGCGTTACACAAAAAAACAAAGAATCCTATTATCCCTTGAACGCCTCATGTATCCATTTCTTCCTATTCAAATACGTACATGCAGGCAGTGATGCATGCTGTTGCATAACGCTAGGTGTGCTCTGGCAGGACAAGGTGTTCCTGAGGGGGCCGGCTGTGAGGGGGAACACAGTGAAACCCACAGGAAGTATAGTTTTAGAGATCCTTACTGGGTCTTTCCTCATAGCAACCATGTGTTGTAGAATCTCATTGAGCCAGACGTAAAGTCTTGGTTTGAATTGATCTGCATCCTTTCCTTCTTTGCGTCATTTAATTCCTTACACCAAGACTGATTACCCTCCATTTTCCATTTTCCAGCGAGGATGCGGCAAGCCGTCAAAACTCATTAGAAAAAATCGTCCTCAGGAGACAGAATGGTGACGGCGCTGATGAAGATGTTGCAGCCAAATTGAACTGCCAGGCTTTTGCTCTAAACCCTAATGTTCCATCCTAATTTATCTTTAAGACATTTGAACCTGAAGTTAATATACCTGTTCCCTTGTTAAAGGCATCATCTGCAGCACAGGCAGTATGAGGAAAAGAAAGACCTTTTTGAACATTAAAGCAAGGAGACTGTAGAAGCAGAATATGAAACCGGAAAACAAGCGTATCTGGAGCCGTTTAAAAGCTATCATTTCCAAACTTCTATTGACAACTTCGCTCTCACAGCAGCTGACAATTCGTGTTGCTTGCCTTCATGTGTTGCGTGCAAGTTAGTGTTGCAAGAATCAATGGTTAATAATCCTGATTCACCTCCGAAGACTGCAGCCCTCTTCCTCCAAACAACAAGGTATGTATTACAGCTGAGCGTCTGGTGTGGATGACTGACACACTCCTCGAGCGGGCATGCCGGTGTTTGCACGTTGTGTGTTGGCGTGTTTGCAGGATGTGTGGAAACGAGGGTGCAGAGCAGGTGCCACGTGGCGTTTGACGTGCTAAGCCAAGGCGAGGGGTCGCCGTGTGATCTCAGCTGTTGGGGAATGGGGCTTGCAGTGTTTCATCTACAGTCACTCGTGCCGCCCCCCCCCCCCGAAACCTCCCCTCTAATCCAGCCAGATCTGAGAGCAGGCATGCGGAGAGGGGGGGGGACACACGCGACACACTCACATGACAAAAAGAGGCATGTATCCTGTCAGCTGTTCTCCACGGACACATTCTCTTACAGTCGGCTTCATCGTTTTGTCAGAGACAGCCGGATAATGAAAGTATCAATCATCCCCCTCATTGATAGGAATGTTGAGTATTGCAAACATCCTTGTTGTCCTGGGTGAAGTTATTTTAGGATTATATCTTCATTTATCTGTCATGATTACAAGCTGTTCTTGGTTTGTTTAAGTTCTTGTTCCATTCGGTGCCTTTTCTTCATCCTGTAATGCACTCGTTTGTCTTGGCTAAAGCATCAGATATTCTCAGCAGGAATGTGAACGCCCCAATTTGATAGCGAGGAAGGCCTACCTATCTGGGCTATTGTCTAAATATGGCGTCTGATTCGCTCGTGTTTCTCTGGCCCGGCCGTCTGTCTCCATATCTCGTTGAAAAAATACCACTTGGGTGCGACGGGACATTTGACCCCTTCTGCACGAAAATGTGCGTTCATGCATCGATGTTTGCTTCCGAGGGCCCTGAGGAGGTGATGTTGTAACAGATTCCCGTGACTTGTTTGCGTCTGCCAAGTAGCTGTCTCGTTGGCAGTGTGGTTTGTCGAGGTCAGTGACTCAGTAAGAGGTGAGACTCTCTACTGTAGCTGCAACGTCATCCTCTGCAACGATTGAGAAATTACTTGAAATGTTCTCATTATCCTCCTCTGCCATGTTAACTATGCAGAGAGCACAAGACTCAACAGGAACTCTAATTGTTTAGAAAACAGTCATGGTCTGGCTAGGATAAATCGGACTGACTATGGTGATGCTTTGCCAATATCATTATGTGTCCAATACGTTACGACTCAATCTCTGCAGAGTATTCCCATCAGTCTCAGCTGCACTCTGTGGTGTGTTCTTATGACCAGATGTTAGCGTGAGACTTGGGGAGTGTCTACTTTTCAATACCTTATACCTTACTGACATCTCACTGGGGTTGTAGGTTAAACTTTTTTTTGTTTTAATCCGGTCTGGGAAAGCAAGAAAGGGCAACAAGCTTTTGAGTTTTAGCACTGTAGCATGCGGTTCTTCACAGGTAACCGTTATTATGAACCCTAACCCTTGTATTCGCCATCTTTTTGAACTCAGTGGACACTACAGCTTCATAGAAAGCAGACGGTATTGATTTAATGCTTCCCATAATACCAACCAAGCCTAGTTAGCATGCCACACACACTCATCTCAGATTGGGAATATTGTAAACATTATATCTGATAAACACCAGCATGTCAAGCGTGTTAGCATGCGACGCTAGCATTTAGCTTATAGCCCAGATTTGCCCAGGTACAGTCTCTATAGCAACAGCGCCAGCATGGCTGTAGATTAACCTTTGTTAAGGTAAGGAGTTAAAGGTAATTCTAGTTTATTACAACTTGGTTTGCAGATTCATGGATTAGGCAGTTATTCCTATCAGTAATAATACAATGTGAATGGTCTAAATGCTTTCTTGCTGTCTGCCACTTTGTGATAGTGGTGCCCCCCTATTCTAAGTTCTGATGTGTCCAAAGATAAGCAATTACGTTGGTTGTAATAAACTGGAATAATCCTTTAATGCAGTGGTGCCTATTGGAGGAGAGCCTGTCATGTTCACAGTGAGAAACTGAGCCTCTCTGACTCTTGTCCCTCTGTCTCTTTCTATTTAAAACCTCTCTCTCTTTGGGGGCTCTGCCTGGGTATATTGACCCTCTGTGCTTGAGAGGAAGGGAGGAGTCTGGGTTGGAAGTGGCAGAGGACAGAGAAGAAAGGGAGAGAGAGGAAAAGAGTAGAAGACCCTGGTCTGTGGAGCTCGTGGTGAGGCTGTTTAATCTCTGCAGGACCGTCAGATGGCTTTGACAGAGCACAGGCACCAATTAGGCTGCAAGATTAGGGGGGCTTTGTACTTCTGAAAAGCTTCTGGATGGACCTTTTTTCTTCTTTTTTTTACCTCCTTCCTTCCTGTCTTGGGTTTATATCTTCACTGGGACTCCTCACCCTCCCATAACCTTACCCCTCCTCCCTCCTTCTGTCCTCCCCAAGCCTTGCGACCCGCTCCTTGAAATCTGTGATTATACCTGGCTAGACATCGAGAGGAGTGGATTAATAAGGCGGTGTGTCTGACGGGGGGCACGCTGCACAGGGAATTAGCCGGCCAGCGAGGGAAGCGAGGTGGATGTTTATTGGGGTCTTGGCTGGGTGCCTCCTGGCATGGATATGGAGCCGAATTGCAGGAGTGGGGGAGACTCCGGCTCCGATCTGCAGAATATTACGGTAGAGTACCAGGAGCGGGGATGGAGAGCGTCATTTTGTATTGAAATCGGAGTTACCACTCAGATAGCACCTACCCACTGGTATTAGCATGTTGCAGTGCAGAGCATGTTGGAGCAGAATTAGAAATCCTTTAATTGTCCCACAGTGAGGACGTTTACAGTTTGACAGAGAAGGGGACAGGGCAGATAAGACCAACTCAAATAGAAGAAAATATGAAACATTAACAGATTAAATAAAGAGGCAAGTACACATCCAAGATAGAAATGTAAATAAAGTCATAATGTAGTCAGTAAGACGGTGGTATTTAGTGAGAAGTATATATATTACATGGTGGTATTTTTACAACAGTGTTTTTACAGTATTAAGTAGCGCAAAAAAAATACCAGCCAGCAATAACATTAGTCAATTGCATCTTATACCTCAGACGAGCCAATATGACAGTGTCCTCTCAGGAGATGACATCTACCTCCTGTATTTCTATAGTTGTTGTGTTTACTTGAAAGCTAGACTCCCTAACTGCTTTAAACCCCTGTTGTGCACACATTAAAACACACATGCACAGACACACTGCTCCTCCAGCGTACATGGAGACAATGACAGGAAGTACATTAGCTGGAGCTCCATTGTATCTCCTCATACATCCTCGCTTCCTGAGCCGGGTTGTGGGTGATGTCGACACGGGGTGGAGTGAGGAGTTGTGGGGGAGTCCTGGGGTACTCCTGAGGTGAAGGAAAGAGCATCGGGGAGGTGAGGGGGGGGGGTTTGATCTGTCTGGTCCTAGACAGTGAGAGATCCTTAATCCTGCTGCCTTCTGCTGCGCGTCGCCAACTGGAAGCTGACCTGTGGTCGGTTTTATTGTCCCACAGCTCGGATAGGGTTTTAGATTACACAAGGGGTAAGCTGGTCCCAGATCTGCACACGAGGTGGAAATCTAACTTTAATTACATTAGCCGTCATCCCACAGAGGGGGCAGACGGTGTAAAGCTGGGAGTCACCAAACCTCAGGAATGCCAGTGGCAGCCTCTGCGGTCGTCTAACTGTGGCAGAAAAACAATAGTCAAGCAGGGGATGTTTATTTTAAATGTGTGCGAGTGTTTTGCCATTTTCACTTTGGCTCAGTCTTTTAAAATGTTTGTACAGCGGGGACCTTGTGTGCTTGGCAGTTATGTGATCTGACTTTCTCTTGTCCTCTCTTCCCCCCCCCTCTCTTTCTCCCTTTTAGGTTTGCCATCACCCAGACTGCCAAGACCTGAATAACAAAAGCCCCCTTCACCTGTGCGAGTCATGTGACTCACGCAGCCACTCGGAGAACACAGACAACATGCACTTTGACCGACACCCCCGCTTTGACTTACAACCTCAAGGTAGACGTGCACTGTTTCTTTATTTGGTAATCCCTCTCTCACAATGATGTCATGCCCATTGCCTCATCACAGGAGCTCACTGTGTAAATATCACACTGGGTTTTTATTCTTGTCTAAAAAAGGCAAAAACTACCAATCAAGTTCTACCTCCGTAATAATTCAATACATGTCTGAAATATTTAAGGTTAACCTTTACTGTTATTTAAGAGTTGCTGTGGTCCCATTTGGTTTCACTTTTTCACTTTCTGTTCATGTTTGCCAATTTATTGTGTCCGAAGCGGCTCACATATCCATCCAGTTGATGTCATTTTCAGTGGAAATAGAATATGAGTTAGGGTTCGCTGTGCGCAATTTACTTTAGATTTCCCAGGAGAAGGAGAATGTGTGTTACTTTTTAGTAGATTATACTCAACTCTTAAAAAGCTACTCTTTTCATGGATGTATCAGAAAGATGACAACATCATTCTTAATCCTTCCTGCAAAGCCCTGGCTGGTCTGCTGTTTGTTTTTTTCCGCAATTGACAGAAATGGCCCTCAGTTTGCTCAATCCCAGACACATTTTAATTGCTGTTCAAATCCTAGATGTGGACAGATAATCAGAAATCTGGAACCAGGCTAGTTTTAAGTGACCTTGCACAGTTTGTCCCTGTGATTTCAGCATCCACCGCAGCATAATGAGGGTTGATTTCATTTCATTAGCTGTGCTCACCACATCAAAAGTAATCTGGTTACTCCGGGTAATGTACAGACCGTACTGTGAACGTTTTTTATTGGTAAAATGTTCTACCAGGAAAAAGTCCATGAGAAAACTATTCAGAGAAGAACAGTTTGTGTACAACTTGAACGCTGTGTTAAGCTTGTATTTCTATCTGCATTAGGCAAACTGGCACAACTAAACGTTTAAACAGTTCTCGTTTGTATCGTACCCATGCGTGTGCAGTAGGGATGTAACGATATATCGAATATGGTGATATTGTGGTAAATAAATGTCTCAATACCGTCGTGAGACTGACTAAATCTACCGCGATTTAAAAAAACAAAAACAAATTTTAAACCTTTATTCAACCAGATGGTCCCATTGAGATCATCGATCTCTTTTTCAAGGGAGACCTGTCAAACATGGCAGCAAGTAGGTTACAGCATGTACATAAACAAC